GACTCGATAACGCTGCTTTCAGTACTTTTCGTTCGGAATTTTCGAGTGCGACATTGGATGTATATCTCTGTTTGCTTGTACAGTTGATGTATGTTTTAGTGCTACATACTATGTACGTAAATATCATAGCAAGCGTGTGATTTTTTATGTGTACAAAAGCTACAGATCACACGAGTATAAAACAAAGATATACTGAGAATGTATTGAGGCCAGTGACATTATTCATACGTTTACGTGTTCGCACACACACAGTCACACACACACACTCTCTCTCTTCCGTAGAGGGTATCTATTTTAATACACATGAGAGTAGAGTGCCTATTCTCTAATATACATAGTGTTCCTACTAATTCTACCAATAGTCACCCCCCACAGCCCTTTTTCTATTTATATGTTGAATACGGCGTGTTATAGGTTATAGCCCTCCGCATTATTATTGTACAAGTCCAAGAGGCTACGGACGTATATTTATTTTTAAGTCCTCTAGTAGGCCCTATAAAGTCCCCACAGATCCCAACGATTTGCATTTTTATATAATAAATACGCATTCATAAATCACTGCCCATAGGCATAGCCCTCTTCAGGCTCTTCTCTCTGTTTGATTTCAGTGATTGGAAACAAATATTTCCCTTCTTTTAGTGCTTTTCGTCTCAATTCATACTTTCGTAGAAAAAACTAATCTACACGGAAAAGTCACCCGCCCAAATTCGAACTGAAAAACATATCCATTGTCTATTGGTCAATAGAACAGAACACATGGATGTTGACTCCAATCAAAACGCTGGCCTATATATATTTACGAGAACGATATGTAGATCTATGTTGTCGTAAATATGAAGTGGTCGCAAATCAAAATGAACTGGCGCGGACAGAGCTATTTCCAAGTTCCGGTCCAGCATTTCTACATCCGCAGTTTCCGCAGAATTGCGTATCGCGTGGTTCGATTAGTTTACGACATAAATCTGGTTTCAATTTCTTGGATGGTTTTTTTCTATTAACGCCATCATGGAGTGTTCGTCAATTCGATGGCTTTGATTATCTCTACACACGCCCAACTTGTCGATATTACATACTGTACTCTATTAAAAAAATAAAAATTCTAAAAAGATAAACTGATATTTAGTAAGCACGTTAAATCGGAACGGTATCAGATACGACCATAGCAAACACGCGTACGCGCACGTAGTTGGATAGCTGTACGTATAGACTAGATACACAGAGACTTCTTATCTCCGCATACACAATGACCTCAGACCAGGATACGATAGTGCTAGAGAGCCTTCTGGTTCAACTACTAACACCAGACAATGACGTGATTAACAGTGCAACCGTAGAGATTAAGAAGATCCTCAAACAGTCCGCTGGCTTACAGGCACTTGTCACTGTTGTGTGCAACTCAAGCAACGAGGGAGCCCGACAAATGGGAGCCACTCTATTAAAGCAACGCATAGCAACCTCGTGGACTAAGCTTGCGCCCGAGTTGAAGAATGCGATCAAGGAGACATTATTGCATCTAGTACTGAACGATAACTCGAGAGCCGTGCGCCAGGGTGTGGCACGGGCTATATGTATGATTGCTAAGCATGAGGTACCTACCGGGCAATGGCCCAACTTTATGGACTGGTTATCTCAGTGCACAAACAGCACAGTGCTGGCACACAAAGAGATCGGCATGCTGGTGTTATCTAGTCTGTGCGAGACTATGGGGGAGCAGCTAAAGCCTTTCTACCCCTCCATGTTTGGCCTATTCCAGACCGCTGTGGTGGAGAGAGAGTCGGCTGAGATTCCGTACCACGCTATGAACACTATCTCCACACTACTGCCGTATTTTGAAACACCTGAGTTTGAGCAATTACACGCGTTGTTGCCGACCATGGTAGAGACCTGCAAGTTTCTTCTACACAAAGACGAGACCCAAGGCTTAAAGGCAATGGAGTTCTTCGATGAGCTTATGGACAGTGAATTCCCACTGTCCGGCGAGAATGCCGCACTTCTCATGGGCTTCTTCCTGGAGGTGGCGTCCAACCAAAACGCCGAACACAGTGCACGTCAGTCGGCTATCTCACAGATCGTCTCTCTCAGCAACTCAGACAAGAAGACGGTTATCATCAAGAACGGCTTAGTCCCGCACATTGTCAATGCCGTGTTTATGATCATGGCTGAGCCTGAGCAAGAAGATCTGGAGGAGGATGAGGCGGCCATCTCTGATTTGGCAGCACAGATCATCGATAACTTTGCCCTCAATATGCCCCCGAGTGCCGTGGTCGACCCCTCGTTGGAAATCATCGGCACGGCAATGGCCAACCCAAATCCAAGGTATGTGAGTGTGCGTGGTGTCTATGTTTGTTGTATGGGTGGGTGGATGGATGTGTGTATTATACGGATTGTATTTGTATGTACGTATATATATATCTGTATCCGTATATATATATATATATATATTAATATGTACATTTCTATAATTATATATATATATAGCTCACATGTTATTAAATTTTTATGCGCCCTGTGTTGTGTTTCGAAGTCATATATCATGTCAAGCCCGTCAAGCTAGGATTTTATTCTACTTGGCGTATCAGTGCCGTCCGAAGGTGTTTATGTCTGAGTGCTGATCATATCATTTCGTTTACACGAGTATGCTTTCGCACTCCCCTAGTCAAATATCGATTCATTTTTGTGCTTATACTCCTTTGGTCCGTTTACGTTTATTGTACGTCTTTATATGGGGATACGAACTGTGCGGGCTATGCGTGTATATGTAGATACAGCAATATAATCATGCTAGACTATATATGGACAAACGGGTCCTCATGTCTGGAGGTTCATAAGCCTTTGTACTTCATATTCCAAGCATTGGGGTTGAATGTTAGTCGAGATAGCTTATTTACACGTTAATATCACTTAATAGTATAGCTATGAATTCTAAACGCGAATTAATTGTATATATCCCTGGGTAAGAACCGAGCTTTCGTGTGTATATTAGACTTCACAAAATATATGTTACATTTTAATCTGGGAAAGGTTCGGACTATTGAACGTGCATACAAATTATATATATATATATCAAGAGCCAAGCAGAGCTGTTCTTTGTTAAACCCGGTTTGAATTCAGGTTGTGTACACCTATACTCTAGTGAGTGTTAGCCCCGAGTTTGCCATGTACGAGTAGTACGTTGTAGTAGAGTATATGATGTTACATTTTCAGAATCGCTCTGAATGTTTGTGGTCGCTGGTAACAGGCGCCATTAACGTGATGACACCCTGAGCAACTGATACTACCCACGTTACCACGTCCATAACCGTGGTAACATCCACATGTATGTATATTTATATCAAGAGTCACACCACATGAACATCCACATGTATGTATATTTATATATAAAATTATACCATACATATCCAGTGCTCTAGAAACTATTCCCAACCTATACCTCAACCCTAACAACCGTCCACCCGCGCCGTTGCCATAGATACCGTCGCGCAGCCATCATCGGCCTAGCCGTTCTAGCCGAGGGGTGCTCCGAGTATCTCAAGAACATGCTCACAGGCATCCTACCCGCTCTCTACAAGGGACTCGAAGACCCAGACGTCTCTGTACGCGAAGCCTCGTGCCTGGCCCTGGCTCAGTTCTCTCAGTTTTGCCAACCAGACATCGGGGATCACTGTGGTGAAGTCATGCCACGCCTCTTCGCGTCGCTCGAGTCACCGTCCGAAGACCTGCGGGAGAAGTCAGTGCACGCACTCGAGTCCTTCTGCGAGTTCCTGGGTGATAAGATAGTGCCGTACCTGGATACCATGATGGCTAAGATGCACCACATGCTGGTCAATGGTTCGCGGGGGGTTCAGGAGGTGACTGTGTTGGCTATAGCGGCTGCTGCTGTATCGGCGGGGTCGGCCTTTGAGCCGTACCTGAATGAGGTGTATGGCGTGCTCAAGCAGCTGATGTCATTGAACACGGAGGAGACCGCTAACCTGCGCGCGTACGCGACGGAATGCCTGGGCCACATCATGAAGGTTGGTGGTGTGAGGTGTTTGGGGGTGGTTTAGGGTTTAAGCGGTTGCCTGGGGTGTACCGGTGTGCGTTGGTGGGATGGCGGGGTGTGTATGCTCGGGATAGTGAACTCTGGATAGCTGATAGTGATTGCTTGTTTAATGCCTGTATGTGGTGAATAGATGGTGTATATGCAAGAACTATGGGAACAAATAATACGTCCGCATAGAATGTTTCATACAAAAGGTGTTCATGCTGTATATATGCACGGATATTATATCCCGTTTTATTTATATACATAGCATTAGCAGACAATAACGCATCCGCATAATATTTTATATAATAGGTGTTCATGTTGCATATATACATGTCTATTATATCTAGGTTAATCTATTATATACATCAGGGTTTTAGGGTTCTTATTCTATACATCCTGTTCTATTTATAAATATAGCATTATCAGGCAATAATTAATATATACGCGAGTTCCGTTTGTAAAACACATGCGACAGGTGTACACTGCTATAAGTTGATATCACACATTTGGTTCTATAAGCATATTCCTGAAGACCCTCCGTCTGCTCACTAGATTTCAAAATATTGCAGTCATTGATATATATACATATACATACAGTCATTTATATTTATGTTTATAACTATTGTGTTCACACGTCTGCGTACGGTAGTGGTTGTCGGTGGTATCTGTAGTCTTTCCTATTCAGCTAATCCCGATGGTTTTCAACGAGTACAATCCCCGTTTAATCGAAAGATACACACACACATATATATATAATGCTTTTTGTACGATATCAAACTTTATAGTATAGTTGTTCGGATGTGTTCCCAGAACAACGTACTCGCGTGGAGATGCAAATGGGCTGTTCTTGTTTTGTTAATGTATTTGACTTGTATATTGTGTACTTGGAAACTGTGTATAGCTGTATATGATGTTATTTAATCAGAATCGCTCTGAATGTCGATGAGTGCTGGTAACAGGCGCCATTGACGGGATGACAAACCTGAGCAACTGATGCACTTATAAAGCACAAAAAATCAAGACAAGCACATGTGGTTGGTTATATACACCCCCATAAGCTGCTGCTACTATGCGTATAACATGTGGTTATTTACACCCACATACGCTTCTACTATGCGTATTATATGTGGTTATATACACCCACATACGCTTCTACTATACTATGCGTATAACATGTGGTTATATACACCGACATACGCTTCTACTATGCGTATAGTCGGAAAACCTTGTGCAACTGACACACTCAACTTATAAGCACAACAAATCAAGACAATATCATGTAGATATATACACACATACGCTTGAGAACTACGAATAATCGATATATGGATGGGCCCTTCACACATTCGTTGCCAGATCTGAGTTGTGTTTATTGTTATGAAAGGGCAGCAGAAGAGCACATTCATATCACCGGAAGTATTCATCGGTATATGTCTTGTACCAATTCCAGTGTTTTGTTTAGTAAGCGCCATGACATCTTGAGATTAGTCATGCCCACCATCGTTGGACTTGACCTTTATCTATGCAGATGTTTATATATATATATGGATGTGTTTTAGGTGTTTTAGTATTTATGCAGATGTATATATATATATATGGATGTGTTTTAGTATTTTTGCAGATGTATTTATATTTATTTATATATATGGATGTGTGTGTGCTACTGCGGCGACTGTTATACTCGCATACCACACAATGCGGCTTGTGTGGCTGGTTGTCTGCCCAAAGTCTTCATACACTCACAGTGTCCTATTGTTGGTATATTCCCTGGCTATCTTTCTGCGCAGCCGTAGTGTGGCGATCTGTCCAACCCACCCCTTCTCCGCTCAGTTGTATAGCTATGATGTACTACCTCACCCTCCCTTACTCAGAAACTCTTTATACCTACTTAAACCTACATATACTTTACTTATACTTAACCTCTGTACCGATACCTACACTCTTCCATCCACACAGAACCTGGGCCGCAAGTACTTTGAGAACGACCTGCCCGATCTCGTACGCGTAGCCACCGAGGGGCTGACCCTAGAAGACCCGGTCATTGCGCAGTGCACATACGGCTTCTTTGGGGCCTTATCCGTAACCTTCAAGAAGGACTTTGCGCCGTACCTACCCAGCCTGCTGCCCATCCTGGTGGGCCAGATCAAAGAAGCCGAGCAGAGTGTCATCTACAAGCGTGGCGGGGATGAGGGTGAGATCGACCTGGGCGACTCAGACGACGAAGACGAAGACGAGAACGAGATCCAGACCGTGATGATCGACCCCAGTGTCATGGAGGCTGCTTCCAGCGCAATAGACACGCTCGGGTACTTCGCTGTAGAGATCAGCCACGACTTCATTCCGTACATCGAGGCATGTCTGCCCATGCTGCTGTCACTGCTCGAGTTCAAGTTCAACAACGACATCCGCAAGGCGGTCGTCAGCACGCTGTGTGACTTCATCCGCTGCTCCCACACCGTGTTTGACGACAGCAAGGAGTGGCAAGCCGGTATCCCCGTGGTTAACCCACTCTCCCAACAGACCATGCACCTCATCGCAGAGATCATACCCAAGCTCACCAAGACCATGCAGAAGGACTACGACCGTATGGTTGTGCTGGCCATCGGCACGTGTCTGGAGCCCAATGTACCCATCATCGGCCCGGCGATGATTGAGGGTAACCTGGCTGACTGGTGCAACACCATCGCCATGCTCATCAACCGACAGGTGGTGTGTCAGGAAGACGACGGCGACAACGACGACGAAGACGCGGAACACACCATGGCTGAGTACGATAGCATGTTGGTGGACGTGGGATGTGACCTGTTGAGCGCCACCGCTCAGGTCATGGGCCCGTCCTTCAACGGACCGTACTTCGAGACCTTTGCCAAGATTCTGCGCAAGTTCTACGTAAGTGACATGGTGTGCGGGTCGTGCCTGTGTTTTTATGGTTTAGGTCAGGTCGTGCCTTTGTTGACCCGCGCTCTGGCTATAGGGTTGGGTTGGAGATAGGGTTACTCGAAGACTGGGGCCTGTGGGCGGTATTGCGTGTATGCGTGAAGCACCTCGTGTTGCTAGATAGTGTACAATCGATGTGTGGATGTGGTTAGAAGGTCGATTATGTTTTATCGTCCTTGGGGGGTGTTGATCCTAGTTGTGATTTGCCCAGTGTCACCGTTTAAGGCGTTGTGAGCAAACTCTAGAGTGCCATTGCGATGAGGGTTGAGTGGATGTACACGAGTCTGTATCTTTATACAAACATATATACGGTATATATATATATATTGCTTCTATTATGAAATAACTATCACGTGGATCATAGTAGTATGTTGCTTCTGTGGTCGTACATCAGCGCATGTTAAGCGGATATTTTTCTGCACATAATGTGTGACTTCTATGCACCGATCGAACGTTGAGATGTGCCCTGATGAGACCATATTTCAACATATCGCCTCTCTATAGGTGCTGTTGATGTACGATGCTTTTCTTTCCCTCCTATCCGATTCAAATCTCCACTCTCGTACCCACTTCTGCATTCTCCTACACCTATCTTACTCCTACCCCTTTTATTATCATCAATATAATACTGAATTCTCCTACCTGTCTTTATCATACCCCTTCATTATCTTCAAAGTAACATCCCCCAGTATATTCCTGTACTATTGTCAACCAGTCCACCAACCAAAAACCTACCACATCTACTAACGGCACGATACACCCCCATATATCCCCCACACCACCAGAAACCCAACTCTAACGAACAAGACCGTAACCTCTGCATGGGCACACTTTCCGACCTTGTTAAAGCCATGGGCCCCAGCATCACCCCCTACGCCGACGAGATGTACAGCATGTTCTCCAAAGCCATCGCCGACCCGGACGAGGGCGTCAAGGTCAGCGCCATCTACACCGTAGGCCTGCTAGCCCAGCATGTACCCTCCCTGGTCACCACCCACGCCAATGAGATGCTGACCAGTGTCTACCCGTTCTTCACCAACCCCGACAGCAGCGCGGCGGTGGTAGACAACTCGTGCGCCATGATCGCCCGGCTCATCACCGCCGCCAAGTCACAGGGTGACCCTAATGCCGTGCTGCCGCTGGCCAAGATAGTGCCGGTGGTGGTGGGAGCCCTACCCCTCAAGGACGATATGCAGGAGAATGATGTGGTGGCGGCTATGCTGCTGGGTCTGTTTGAGACACATTCGGATGTCGTCTTCCCCTTGCTGGGCCAGTTGATCGGCGTGTTTTCGCATCTGTTGAGTATGGGCAAGGAGCAGAGCCTGCTGACAGACAGCACCATCGTTGCCATGACAACGCTGTTCAAGGGCCTGTCCTCGGCACACCCCAACGAGCTTCAGCAGTGCTTAGCGACGTTGAGTGAGAGCCAGAGGACGTCAGTACTAACACTTATTCAGTCACAATAGGGCCGGCCGTGTGTTCAAATAAGAGTTGGCCAATACCGGGTGGACTAAGTTGTAGACGGTTCTGGTCGCATGTGCGTATACCTTATTGGCACCCCTCGGCGGCTGCCACAGGGGTTGTTGGTGTGGGATGCGGATGTTTTTAATATTAGGAATATGTAATGGAAGTACATATCACATAGACGCGTGCAATGTGAGGGGCAAGCGTCTGATTAAATTAAAGTTTTGTAAAAGAGTTTGTGAGTTTTGTTTTGAGTATTTATAAGAGTCTGTGAGCTCGGACTAGTGCCGGCTTAGAAATCGGGGGTTGTTTATATCCGAATGCGTGTTTAAAGCAAGTATGTGCATGCGTGTTGAAAGCAAGTATGTACATTCGTGATAGTGGCTTGAGTATGGAACAAGTTTACCAATCAGTTCAGCTTGTTAAGAGTATATGTACTTTATTGCATATGTTCTAGAAATTCGGAATTTTTATATCCTCCCGCTTGTCTGGAGTGCATAAAACAAACACTGACTGGTATGACAGTTATAGTCGAAGACAGGCGGTCGAGTATGTCTGAATCCATGCGTCTATGAAGTGTATTGCATTTTTGGACAATAGTCCGATTATGCATTGCTTTTCAATTCTCTCTGCATAGCCAAGAACTCGTACCATTGCTGCATATTGATCTGCTCGATATCCGGACGTCAAGTCAGCGGGGAGTCTCTAGTGCCCCTGAAGGTCTGTCGTGACGATTGTGGTAGGATTGTCCCTCTCGGCTATAGTGCTGATTGGTGTACATTCCCTCATTTTAGTCTTTCAGGCCCATGGGTCTGATTGCTCGAGACGCAGATCACAGCTCCAATACATGCACACATACTCTTAATACTAAAATAGCGAGATGAGATTCTCGTTCAGTTTCTAATACATTAATATTCCATTGCTTCAACCACTCCACTTCCATCGATGATTGATGCAACTATAAATCGCCTCTAGTTAATAGAATAAACGAAATGATACGTGCATCGCACTACTACGGTTGTATTCAAACGAGCCGATGGCCATGGCAGATGGATTCTGATTAACCACACCGACCTGGAAGACCGTGGAATGATGGGCCTCGATGTATTATCATGAATACCCAACCGAATATTAGTCTGGCTGCAATGGAATAGAGTATATCGGCTATACTTACACGGAACACCGGACAGCACGAGTGATTGGTAATTGACGGGTTGTGTTTATGGGATAATGGACAGTTTTTGTTCGTTTTTAATTTGACTCAACAAAGCCCTTTTCGATGCTATCTATATATTACATAGCATGTAAAATATCGGAAAGCCCTTTTCGATGCTATATATATGTTACATAGCATATGTTACATAGCATGTATAATAACGTAAAACAATGATGGCGTACGCTCTGTACATCTGATACCATTGATCGTCAAGTGATGTCCAACCTGACACCACACAGCACCGAGCATGCGCACAGGGGTACTAATAGGTAGACGAGGCCAAACAACACATCAATCACTCAGCATGTGCACAGGGGTACTAATAATTGGAAGAAGCCGACAACACATCAACCACTCAGTATACATACGTCTCTCGCCCCTTGAGACGAATGATATAGTACTAATCTGCTTGTGAGTTTATGAACTATAGATGAGATGAATGATATCGTACTAATCTGCTTGTGAGTTTATGAACTATAGATGAGACGAATGATATCGTACTAATCTGCTTGTGAGTTTATGAACTATAGATGAGACGAATGACATAGTACTAATCTGCTTGTGAGTTTATGAACTACAGATGAGACGAACGATATAGTACGTATCTGCTTGAACTATCTCACCCCACAGTTCAATTAACTGCGACACCGCTCGCTGTACTTGAAAACCACTCGTGCAATCCAACACCCATTCGAATCGTAAACGTTACTTGTATGTTCCGTAAACGTTACTAGTATGTTTCGTAAACGTTACTAGTACGTTTTCGTAAACGTTACTAGTACGTTTCGTAAACGTTACTAGTATGTTTCGTAAGCGTTACTAGTACGTTTCGTAAAATCCCCATTCAATCGTAGACGCTACTGGTCTGTTCTTTAATACGCAGGCCAGATATAAGGTGACACCAGGGCTACTACAACGGCGGAAACGCTTGCTGAGAGGAGGTTGACGTGATGATTGTCGAGTAGATCGATACCGCTGATATGCTTCACACTCTTTCCCGGTGTCGCCGTGACCAACTATGTATGGATGAACGAGGGATGTATGCAATGGGTTATATACCAATGGGACTAATATATACAAATGACTGATATACACCAAGACTAACTATGTATGGAAGAACGAGGGATATATGCAATGAGTTATATACCAATGAGACTGATACATACAAATGACTGATATATACCAAGACTAACTTTGTATAAATGAACGAGGGATGTATGCAATGGGTTATATACCAATGAGACTAATATATACAAATGACTGATATATACCAAGACTAACTTTGTATGGATGAACGAGGGATGTATGCAATGGGGTATATAACAATGAGACTAATATATACAAATGACTGATATATACCAAGACTAACTATGTATGGAAGAACGAGGGATGTATGCAAAGGGTTATATACCAATGAGACTGATATATACAAATGACTGATATATACCAAGACTAGTATATACAAATAACTAATATATACCACACAGACTTAATATATACAAATAACTAATGTATGCCAATTAGACTAATGCATACAATTACTAATATATACCAATTAGACTAATATATGCAAAATGGACTAATATATACAAACGGACTATAAATTTATACCAATCGAACTAACAATTAGACTAATATCTACCAATCCACTAAGACTGTGAGTGCCAGTCGACCACAGCAAGTGTGGGGTGGGAGTTCAGCAGGTGTTTTATTTCTGTGACTAATTCTTGGTACCACAGCCTCAGTGAGCAGCCTGAATTTAGTCAGTACCACCGAAGCACGGTTTGGGGTACTATCCCATTGAAAGTAGGTATATTCGATGTGCTATCTCCTTGAAGGTAGGTATATTGGATGTACGTTGCATGAGTGTAATAGTGAGATTCAAGCACAAGTCCCGTGTATTGGCTCCTGTTGCATGCTACAGTGTAAGGTGCAGACGAAAGGCTGCACGATTTGCTTGAAAGGCATCTCTGGCAGAGCCAGAACGTTCAAATGATCAATACAAGCCGATGTTCGAGTGCCACGCTTGTAAGTATATGCAAGTACTGAAGGTGTTAGTAAGTATCTGTATGTACTTAAGGTGTGTTTGTAAGTATATGCATGTACTGAAGGTGTTTGTTGGTATTTGCTTGTACTGAATATGTTTTGGTGCTAGGTTTGTGCGTCGGTATGCTCATATTCCGAACCACCTGTTCCTTTGATCGAAACACCCTCTAATAGCACCGTGGACTACATTGGGTTTTAAGGTTTTTAGGGTTTTAGTTCAGGGTAACCCAATCATATGCAGTCGATCGCTCTCTAATAAACACTAGCTTTACCACGCGAGAAATACGGAGACTACCGGTGATAGCAAACCGAGGGCGAATGGCGCTGCATAATGTCACAGTGACGTTCAGGATATATAGCGAGAATTCGATCACAGGATAACTGTAACAGCCGAAACGTAGGCACAGTCTAGAGCTCTTCAGACCAAGGGCAGACATAACCATATCATCTGGACGACGATTATATACAACTATTAATACATAACCACATCATATGTCATACACGCCTTAGCCTCTACATCACACACTACATCATCACATCATATGTCATACACACCTTAGCCTCTACATCACACACTACATCACCACGTCATATGTTATACACACCTTAGCCTCTACATCACACACTACATCACCACATCATATGTCATACACACCTTAGCCTCTACATCCCAACCGCTGAATTGCAGCGTAGCACCAAGCACTGAGTCTAGCACGGAGCCATACAAACCCACAACAGCACCCGTCACCACCACGGGCCATTGGGGGGGTACATCTGTATATGAATGCAGGGAAAGTCGCATGATCATTCATTTGGGTTTATATGTATATGTATATACAAACATGAATATATATACCTATCTTGTAAAAACAAATGAGTGTATATGAGTGTAGGCAAGTACATATATAAAATACTGGAAGTACACAGCGACGCAAGCAGCAGTATAACATAGGTGTGTACCAACCACACCAGGCACACGAGAACTTCTGTAGAGCCTTCCAGATCGCTGTATAGTACCCATCGAGAACCATTCAGCTGTAGAGTAGGTATATATATATCCGCCCAGGTATAGAGTATCTATCCATAGCTATTTAGCCGTCGAGGTTAATTGACAGATCAGACCTAGAAGGTCTACTTGGACGTGCTGGCGTTACAGGATACTTCACCGATAGAAGCTCGCATTGGGCTCCAATTGAAGTGCATAATGGATATCATATGCACATTTAACGGACATCAGCTAGTACTGTTTAATTGTAGTGTAACTATACTTAGACAATATCTCCACCGACAGCTTAGGTAGGAGTATCGGCACACTAGATCCATAATAGATATATGGTATGTATGACTCACCTTGGTACGTGCCGTTCATTTGGCAGATCGCACATATGCTTCCCCAATGACAAAGGCCTATTAAAAGACCCCCCAGCAAACTTGCAAATAGACCTATGGCACTCACGCCACCATTTGTGCCTGTGGGAACTTGACCACTGTATAATGTATAAAAATATGCATATTTATATTTATATT